CTGACATTAATCCATGCACATATGAACACCTGGTTTTTGACAAAGGAGCCAAAACTATACAATGGAACAAAGAAAGTATCTTCAACAAATGGTGCTGGCATAACTGGATGTCAATATGTAAATAACAAGGATTTTTTTAAAGATTAAAACCTTTTTTTTTTTTTTTTTAAAAGATCACTTTTATTTGCCTTTGCTTGGTAGGACAGCAGTGTCCTTTTAAAATCCTATTCAAGTACAAATGCTGTGTTTACAAAGTATTTACAATTTCTATCCTGTTTCTTATATTACAAAACAACAACAACAACAACAACAAAAAACCCAACAAAACAAACAGCTATCTGGTTGAAAAATGAATGAAAGTAACCACCAAAAATGAAGACCTCCCCACCTCTAACTCCACCCAACCACTGGTCTGGTCTTGGGCACACTGAAGGATGCTGCCACAACAGCAGGAAGGATGGAGAAAGGGGAGTGCGACATTGACAAAGGACCCCACTGAGCTCAGTTCTGCCTGAGGACTATAGGGAACAGGAAGTGCTGCTGGGAGCCAGGATCCTCCAAAGGCTCTTCCCCCAACACAGCACACACCAAGCCAAAACACGGTGGGTTTTTGCTTGTAGACCACATACAGGACAGGTTTATGGATTAGGAAACACTAAACCTCTTCTGGTTTTTCAACACCTAATTGCTACTTTCACCCCAAGTTTCACATTAAGAGCTCAAAAGTGAGTTCTGGCTGGGCTTTAGGATGTACTGTCACATTCCTGCCCACACAGCAGTGTGGAATGAAAAGTGGGATGAACGTGACAGGAAAGAATACTCAAACAATACAACAACTCCTGTCTTCAAGGCTGCAGTGTGACAGCATAGACTTCACAGACTTAACTTCCAGGCCACAAGACAGGCTTCAGCCCTGATGTGGAACATGACCTTCCACTCTGGCAGGTAAGAAGCTACACAAGTCACCTTACAGTGGTAAGAAGAGTGAACATAGGACTGAACGCCATCCTAACCCTTTCTCCTTCAACTGCAGGCCTGTCACTACACTAGCCATGACAGGCACAACCAGGCATCAGTTGTTGCTTAGTTGAAACATCTAAAATCCATGAAGAGCTGCTGAGGGGTGGTACAACAGATGCCTTCCTAAGAATACTAAGCTCTCCAGACTAGACCAGGACAACAATAAGGTGACAGTAACCTTGGTACCAGCTACACCAGGCTGCCCCACCTGCCATATACATGTGTACAGCACCTGAGACTCACACTAGCTTGTCACAAGAATACTGCAAAGGATCCCAATAGTGTGTCTAAACACAAACTTGGCTATACAGAGATGATATCGGTCCCACAGCCTTATACAAAGGAAAGCCAGTGCCTACTAGGACAAAATGGGTGCTCATAATGCAAGCCAGGACCTCACTGGCATATTGAGAAGGGTAAAAGTGCAGATTCTGGAAAGAGAAGGGTGGGGTCTCTGATGGTCTACTGTCATCTCTCCTGAAAGACTATGATGCAAAAGATTAAAACCTTTTTTTTTTTAATCTTAAAAGTAATGTACTATATGAAAATTACACATAACATTGTAGTATCTGGAAGACAGAGACCTGGACGAGCCTCTCTCTTGATGCTCTCAGAATTTGCCAGGTCTGGGGCACTAGGGTCATACTTGGTGTGTACCGTCCCTCTCTGCTGCCGCCTTCCTGGCTGGTGCTGGACACAGGACACAGGTGCCTTAAGGACAGAGCATCATTCACTCTAAGACTGACTATCTTTGTATGTTCTTTGCCACTGAAAGTCCCAGAGGTCATGTGGTCATGTAGTCCAGGTAGACACTTCCGTTTGTGGGTTTGTCTAAACAAAGCAATGCCTCCCAGGTGCTTTTAGAGAAGTGGATATGAAAACTGCATGGAGTTCCACTATGGAGAGAAGTCCTGGGAGCTGAGCTGTGTGCCTAAGCATTTTCAGATCCTATCCAGCAGCAAAACCATGCAATAAGCAAGAAGCTGTGGAAATTGAATAATAGTTGCACTCAGGTTCTGAGTTCTCAGCCCCTGTCTGCTGCACACAAATTGCAGCAGTTTCAGAAACCAAAGAATCTTCCAGCCACCTCCTCAGAACTCTCAGGCTCAGCAGTCATCCACAGGAGCCATGTCATTCCCGGTACAGGAGGCAGGGCTGCCTGTCCTCAGGCCTCCACAGCCTGAGCCTGGAGTGTGTCTGTCAGTCACTCCCACCTGCACGGCTGTGCCTCATGGCTGCCCACCACCCAGTGCATCCCAGCACTGTGACATGTGCTTGATGGTTTTGGATCCCCACCACAGCTCAAACTCAGAGAACAGAAGCTCCTGGTTCTAGCACTGAGAGAGACCGAGTGTGTAGAGCTTGGTCTGTGCCCATCTGTGTTCCTTTGTATTGTATAGGACAGTAGTTTTCAGAGTGTGCCTTGCCCTGAGTGACTCCATTTTATAAAACTGTGGTTTGCTTCATTTTGAAAGCAAATTCTGAGACAAAATGACTCTGTACCTTATGTGTGTAAGTGTCCAGCACAGATAGTAAACATAGATTGATAAATGACTTATTAATACAAATAGATTATTTCTTCCTATAAACATATTAAGCCAGGAACACCTAGACCCATGATGTTTGAAGACCTTGTCCAAGAAACCAAGCTTGTGTGCATGTCCAGAACACCAGGGCAATGAGCGCTGTCATGTACTCACTTGGATCACACCCACTGAGCCATCATCAGGCTACCTGATGTGTATGTCACTAGACACAAGGCAACAGACTCTCAAGTCTGACCCCAGGACTTCTGCTCACCATTTGTTCAGACCTCTTGTGCCTGGAGTCAGCTCTGTGCTTTGGAGCAATCTGCCCCTTGAACCTTCTCTGTACTTTAACTGACACTGTGCCTTGAACCAACTGAGTATTTTGGCCACCCTGTTCCAGAACAGCTCTCTCTGCATGTGTATCTGCTGTGTGATTTTGTGTCCCACAAATTCCCACGTCTGCATACCTGTGCATGTGCACACACCCACATACAGGAGATGTGGTAATGGTGGTCATGTATTCTACCTCTGAACTTATATAATATCATAATATGCTTTTGAAGTAAGACAAATCTACCACCTCATCTGTCTCCCTCTTCCTTTATGAATTATGAATAACATTTATACTCTGTTCATTAGGGCTCACTTGTTTCTTAGGAATTTGGTGTCTAAGGGGAGTCTATGTACTTAGTTCTGTCTGCTTCTCATTGGGTCCTTAAATAATCTCAGTGATATGTTCATCAGGAAGCAATATGCCTGTGACTGTGCAGACTAAACCAATCCTAAAGTGTGCTGTGCTGTGTAATAATGATGTGTGTGTGTACCATCAACTCACTATTGCTGTTCCTTCTACAGGAAGGAAGAACCTCTTGAGATGTCTTCCAGTAATGACCCTGGTACAATCCCGATGATAGAAAGAAATCCCAGTGACCTTCCTGGAATGGACACCAGTGACCCAGACACATTGACTGGAGAGGCTGTGTTGAGTTTTCATAACATCAGCTATCGAGAGACAGTGCAGAGTGACTTTCCATTTCATAAAAAAACACGTGTAATAGAAAGACTATCTAAGATCAGGTATGTGCATGAACTAAAGAAATCAGTATATTTTATAACTTTTTAAACACAGACTTTCTCTATTATCAATAATCTGTGTGTGCATGTCTGTGTACATATACATGTATGTATGTGTTAGTGTGTTTGTGTGTATATATGTGTGTATGAATATATATCTGTTTATGTGTGTAACTATATATGTATATATCTGTTTATATGTGTATATAAGTGTATGTGTGTGTGATTGTGTATGTATGTGTATGTATAAGTGTATGTGTGTACATATGTTTACATGTGTGTATAAGTTTATGTGTGTGTATGTGTTCACATGTGCAGATGTGTGCATGCTCTGACACACCCGTGGCACAAGGCCATCACAGGACAACCTTGACCACTGGTCTTCACCTTCTACCATGTTGCAGACAGAGTCTCTCACTGTTCACTGCTGGGTGTGCCAGGCTAGAAGCCTGCAAGAGTCCTGGGATTCTCCTGTCTCTGTCTCCCATCTCTCCATAGAGCATGGAGTTAAGGGTCCCCACAACTGCACCCAACATCATGTGAATTCTGGATGTTTAACTTAGGTCCTCCCCCTCACACAGCAAGTGATTCACCCAATGAACCATCCCCCAGCCTCACCTTGTCGTACATACAGATACATTCATGATGACAGTGAAATTAATGAGATGGGGACTAAAAGAACAGCTTAATGGATTAATGACATAAAAAGTTGGTTCTTTGAAAACACAAACAAGCTGGACAAAATGTTAGACATACTACCAAAACCAAGCAAAACAAAAAACCTGAGAAATGGTTTTAATTCAATAAAATTAAGAATGAAAAAGTAATATAAAAAGCATACTGTTAAAATGAAGGGATATGAGTGAATATTGCAAATTCAAAATACATGAATTTGAAAATTATAAGAATTGTGTACACGTCTATACCCACATCCTCTTGCAAACTGAACTGAGAATTTCTGACAGGCTGTCTGGGTCAGTTACAAGTGATGAGATGAAAGCAATGAGGGAGTCCCAACACCAGAAAGTCCAGAGCCTCATGTATTTGCTCAAAACTCATTAAGAGATAAAAAGAGCTAAAACCAACATTGTTCTACACATTGTTCCACAACAGAGAGAAGGCTTGCTTCTGACCAAATTCTGAGGACAGAGCACACACACCAAGATTCCCCGCTCAGTTTGTATAGTCTCTTCCTCACAACCCCAACCATGGCCTCTGTTCTTGGGCACTGGTCATTTCTGCTCCTCCACCAGAACTTCCATCATTTTCTTACTAAGATGGGAATGGGCAGGGCAAAGGTTTGACACATTGTCTGGATTGAAATAAGAAATGGGAACATACCTGAGTTTTCTATAAGAATATGCCCCTTTCAACCTGAATATTCACTACTCTGAATCAATCAGTTTTCTGACATACCTTGTGTTTGTGCTGTACCTATACATCAATGAAGAATGTCCTCTACTTAAGGGATGTCTCCCAGTTCTAAACTGAGCATATGCTAATCTCTTTATCAGGGAAGGAAATCATCATTTTGTGGGTGTGTATTAGGTTTTCCATATTGATTAAGATGGTAATTTGTTTTGAATGTTTAACTTGGCAAAGCTCTCTTGTCCTCTGGAGAGCTTCCTTTTAGTCTTTGGATTTCTATTTAAGATGCATTGATTTTGGTTTGATCCTATTTTAATAGTAATGACACTGCTACTGATATCCCATGAATCATTGGTTTGTTATGATGAGGTTTACGAGGCAGTAAGCAGGGCTATATGAAGACATTGGTTATCAAACATGAACAAGAAGATGTTGTGTACTTGACACATAAAGCCCATGTGTGTAATAGAGACTTCATGAGAACCTACTGCTTGCTTCAAGGAACACTGAACTTAGATGCACCATGTTTTAAAAAGAGAAGTCATTTAAATAATAAACAAAAAGGATTTTGTGATATCTGAGGCATTTTCCTCATGAGTCTCCACTAGCATTTAAAACCTTTCATAAATAATATATTAATATTTAAATTTTTTTGTTTGAGTTTGTACTAATTATGTTTGTACAATTCCATCCACTTTCAATAGAATATTCAGTGTAGACACTAAGCTAATATAACTTCTTTAAATAGAAAATCAGCTAGTATGACTTTGTGTTTACAGTGGAATCATGAGACCTGGCCTCAATGCCATCATGGGACCTGAAGATGGGAGCAGATCTTGGTGAGTATAACGGAAAGCACATGGGAGCCCTTTGTGTCCAGTTTCTGTGCTGTAAAATCACTTCCACAGGCGTTATTTATGTATTGTGTGAGTCTGTAAGTACTGTGTGAGTATATGTGTGAGTACATATGTGTGAGTCTGTAAGTATTGTGTGAGTATATATGTGTGAGTATATATGTGTGAGTCTATAAGTATTGTGTGAGTATATCTGTATGTATGTGTGAGTCTGTAAGTATTGTATGAGTATATAAGTGTGAGTCTGGTCCCACGTGCTGTGGATAATGTGCAGGATGGTGCATTCAATTTTCTGCCAAGAACAGAAAGTCATACTAGGTATACTTTACTGATGGGAAATGATACAGTGATTGTATATGGTGTTGGGTCATATTATTGTTTCATGTCGGGGAGATAGTATTAAAATTAGAAAGATGAAGCAAAGTTTTCTGGGAACAAGAAATCATCACTAGGCCCAATTCTCAAAATACAACAGCTCATTACCAGTTTGAGTCCCCAAGGTCAGATTGCAGGGAAAGACGGTCATGTGGGTCATGTCTTGCATTCATAATTCTGGGCTGTTTAGAGCACATAATAAGCAGAAAGCAGTGTGTGTGTGTGTGTGTGTGTGTGTGTGTGTGTGTGTGTGTGTGTGTGATTTCAGTTAAACTTTTGATATGCTGAATTTTTGCTTTTTGAGTTTTTAAAAGGTGATAGCTTTTACTGAAGGGAGAAAGTAAACTACACAACATATATAACCCTTTGTAGGTTACTAGATGTCTTAGCTGCAAGGAAAGATCCACGTGGATTATCAGGAGATATTTTGATAAATGGGAAACCTCGACCTGCTAATTTCAAATGTACTTCTGGTTATGTACCACAAGTAAGTGTTGGTGGGTTTATAATTTTAGATTTCCCCTGCCTCTGTACTGATAGATGCACAACTTGTAGATTTGTCTGTTTCCAATTAATTATATGACACATTAATAGGCCCAGATTTTCCTAGTGACTCATTAGCCTGAGGCTGGCATTATTAAATAGGAAGATGGGGAGGGATTGGAGTCTGACAGCTGTGTTACAGCATTAGTAACTGCAGTTGGGATTTAATTCTACAAAGGACTGCTGCTATCTGATTTTTCCTTTCCCTCATTTTTCTCCACTACTTAGAAATTCCTTTCCATGAATAATTGCAGGTAGCAGTCACCTATATCTCTTGGAAGGTAAATGGGAGGGGGGGAGGCGTGAAATGACTGCTTCAGGCTCTAGACTTGAGATTAGTAACACTGAAAGCTTATCTTTCAGTAGAGTATTACATTGTGTGTGGTTTATATGTGGAGTAGGTTACATTTGTTGGAATGATTGTCTTAGTGATAACTGTATTTAATTGAAATACTATTTAACCTTAAGAATGACGTGGTGATGTACACAGTGACTGTGAGAGAAAATATAGAGTTCTCAGCAGCTCTTCGACTCCCAATGACTGTAACTAGAGATGAAAGAAGAAGACGAATTGATGAGGTCCTTGAACTTCTGCATCTGGATAAAGTGGCAAATGTTAAGGTAATGTGAAGAAAATCTTGAAAGATTCAGAGCCAGAAAATTCCCTTGTTAATAATATGACCCTCAGTCATCAGTTTCCTCTAATGTGTGTGGTCCAGGTGGCTGCTCTCTGTATTAGTGAGTAAGTGACTGGTTACATGATGTACAGTGGAGACTGAGCTGGGAAGCCTTCTTAGCAATGGTTAAACCTGGGAATGGAGTGTGATCCAGGAGGGAAAAGTGTTCCTCACATGGCCATTTCCAAGTTACTCACAAGAGCCTCCTCCTTCTCCTCAGACTTAAACTTTTGACTCATTAAAGAATCTGACAAGTGCTTTCTTCTGTTTATTGTCTCTTCCCCGAGGACTTGTCCCTTTGTTGTTTCAGAATGTTTTCTGGACTGACATATGACGTGGGATTGAGGACTCTGGCTCTGTGTTTCACTCTGCATTTATTCCCTCCAGGGTTGTACTTGGTCTCTTTAGCATTTACTTCTGACTTGTTCAGTGCTTGTTATTTTCTGTAGCCTTTCTGTGTTTTTATCTCATCCTGTCTGTGGTGGCTAGTGTCAACTGTCACCTTGACACAGTCTGGAGCCACCTGGAATCATCTAGAAGAGATTCTGAATGAGGAATTGTAGTCAGTTGTCTTGTGGGCATTTCTGTAGGTGACTGTCCTGATTGAGTTAAGCGATGTGGAAAGACCCAGCCCACTTAGGCAGCACCATTCTTTGGGTCTCAGTCCCTGATTGTCATGAGAATGGGGAAAGTGAGTTGAACACTGACAGGCTTGCATGCATTCATCCTCTCTGTGCTCTTGACTGGATATAACCATCTGCATCGGCTTCCTGCCTGGAGACTTCCCTGTAATGGTTGACTGTACTTTTAAACTGTGTGCAGAAATAAAACCTTTTACTCCTTTATTTATTTATTTATTTATTTATTTATTTATTTATTTATTTATTTATTTATTGGTTTTTCAAGACAGGGTTTCTCTGTGTAGCTTTGCGCCTTTCCTGGAACTCACTTGGTAGCCCAGGATGGCCTCGAACTCACAGAGATCCGCCTGGCTCTGCCTCCCGAGTGCTGGGATTAAAGGCGTGCGCCACCACTGCCCGGCTCCTTTTTTATTTTTTGCAAGATATTTTATCTTAGTAACTGGATGGAAACCTATGATCGCCTTTTGCCCCTGCTCTCTCCTTTCGTATCATCTGTCAATTTTTATTACCAGCTCCTGTGTTAGGTTTTAATGATACAAACTTGATCAAGAACAACAGAATGGATATAGTGACTCCTATGAGGATTTTTGCAGGATCAGGCAGGGTAATAGTTAAGTGGTGAATGTCACAGTTAACTAGGTCATAGCTAATTAGTTTCTTAGTAACGTATTTTAAAAGACTGTTATGTAATACTTCATTCCTAAATACTTAATTATTCTTATTTTTTAATAATTAGTGATATATGCTAATTTAACAATTCCATTCTTACCTATCAAAATGAATAAAATCTTCATCTCCTCAGTCCTGCCAGGTGTATAACCATTTTAATCATTTGCAATCCTCAATTTCTTTTTATTATTACATCATTTATAGAACCTGATCAGGCATTTAATTTATTATATGCCTATAGTATTTCAATATTAGGGTTGTTTCCCTCTTCTTGTGTCCTCCAAACCATCCTGTCTCTCACAGTGATATCGACTCATTGAGAAGATTATACATAGATGTCTGCTGAGCAGACATTTGGTAGTATGGATGGAAATGGGCTCCCCAGAATATGATTCTGATGGATTAACTTCTGAGGTGGCTCCTCCTTAGAGGCAGTGAGGAACAGGAAGGTACTGACAGTTGATTTCCACAAGTAGTTTATGAGATGTTAGTCTTGTTGGGAAGAATAATAGAAAAGCTCACATTTATCATGATTTCATTTTTCGTGAGTGATGGAATTTTGTTTCCTTTGAATGTGTTTATTTATATAGTTTTATTTACAATAAAGTTCTTTCTTTTAAAAATATTAGTCATTTCCCTAAGTTGTTTACTTATTTTTTAGGGACAACATGTGAAGGTATTTATTAACTTCTTGTGTGGTGGTATTGTGTTCCCCAAAATATTGTGCACCCTATTAAACGTATCTGGGGTCAGAGACAGAACAGCCCGTAGATACAAAGGCTAGAAAATGGTGGCACTCACACCTTTAATCCTAGCATTTCAGAGGTAGAAATCCCTCTGGATCTTTGTGAGTTCAAGGCCACATTGGAAACAGCCAGGAATGGTGACACACGCCTTTAATCCCAGGAAGCAAGCCTTTAATCCCAGGGAGTGATGGTAAAAAGGAAAGGTATATAAGGCCTGAGGACCAGAAACTAGAAGCATTTGGCTGGTTAAGCTTTCAGGCTTTCTAGCAGCACAATTCAGCTGAGAGCCATTGGGATGAGGACACAGAAGCTTCCAATCTGAGGAAACAAGACCAGCTGAGAAGTTGGGTAGGTGAGGTTAGCTGTGGCCTATTTTGTCTCTCTGATCTTCCAGTGTTTACCCCAATACTTGGCTTCAGGTTTAATTTTATTAATAAGAACTTCAAGATACTTGCTACATTCTTGAAGTTATTAAATGTAATAAATTGCAAGAACTTTAATATAATTTTTATGATTGCTTTAAGAAAGTGTGTGTGGTGTGTGTGTGTGTGTGTGTGTGTGTGTGTGTGTGTGTCCGCTTGAATTCTATAGCACACACATGGAGGTCATAGGACATCTTTGTCAAAGGTCCTTTCTCATCATTCTGCTGATGCCCTACAAGAATGCCTGATGCTCCTCATCCACCTCCCATCTCACTTTAATTACATCTTGATGGAATTAAGGATGCATTCCTCTGCAGATAGCTTTATAAGTGAGTTCAAGGAATGGAACCCAGGCTTCAGGCTTATGTGGCAAGGCAAGTGCATTTCCCTTCCTAGACTTCTCTTCAGGCTTTCATAAGATTTTGATTTAAGAAATGTAGAGGAAATATGTGGCTGCTGTGAAAGTTTGACTGTTACATAGCCAGCACAGTAGTACACTTGCTAATACCAGTCTCCTGGGCTTCTTAGTGTTTTATGACAGCATACTACTAAAGCTGTTTCTCTCTGCAGCATTTTAAAAGGTGGTATCTTCCTCCTCAGTACTTAATTACTTTTCATCCATTAAAAATAAGGGCATCAGCTTACCTCTAAACTGTAATCTTAACTATCAAAATGATACTTTGTGTGTGCCTGTGTATAGTATTGTGTAATGTGTGTTTATGGTGTGTAGAGTGCCTGTGTTGTATGTATGCTGGTAGGGTGTTAAATGATGACTTAATTACTAGAGGTACTTCATCTTCTCCTGTCTCGTCTTCCTCGTTCCTTTGTCAGAGATCTCACTGTGCCAGTCTTGGAATGTGATAACTCATTACCCTAGAACATGTGACTTGATAAAGAACAAACAGTAACTGTATTAGCATGGGCTTCATGTCAAGTCTGACCTGAGCCTCTTTCTACTCACTTGGAAAAGAGAAAAGTCCTTCTTCTCCCAGGTGTCCATATTTTTTCTCCTCAGGATAATGACATAACAATTTTTTTTTATTGCTAGAACAGACAGATTTATCAAATGACAATGACTGTGTGTGTTCTTGTTGATAATGATGGTCCTTGGTGCTCTAGCCTAGATCTAAGGAGCTCAGGAAAAGGACCAGTATAGCAATGGAGCTGGTCACCGAGCATCCCATTCTGTTCTTGGATGATCCCACCACTGGCTTAGACTTGGTAACTACAACAGATGTCATCTCGGTCCTGATAAGGTAAGTACTGAAAGAACATTAAATTTTATTCACTTAATACCTGGTCAGTTGTGTGTATTTTTGGTGCAGGAGATTCAGAAGTAAGCATCAGAATTTCTTCCTTGTTCATTAGAGGGGAACTTCAATTAACATCAAGAACAATGAGACAAGAGCAAAGGGAAAGATGGCTGTGGTGAAGGTGGAGCACTGCTTTACATAAATGTCCCCACAGCCCTCAAGCAAGTGTCAAGTGAGCTGTGTGTGAGATCTGAACAGAGTGCTGTACAGAGGGAAAACTCATTTGTTCTGAGGCAAAGCATGTTTGCTGTGTCTGGAACATTAAATAGACTAAGTTGACCAGACCCAGTAGCCTGAGGGGATGGAAAGTTGCTAGTGCACTGCTAAAGACACCACAGACTGGGTGACTTGACAGAAGTTACAGTTATTACAGTTCTGGATCCTGGAAGCCAGATATTAATGTATGCATAGGCTGTGTCTCCTGAGGCCTCAGTCAGTGAGTTGTGGATGGTGTTTCCTCCCTCTTCATGTGTCTATGCCCTGATCTCTTAAATGGACACCATTTACATTAGGACACACTAGTAAGTTGATTTAAACTTAGTAAGAATTTTAAAGACTCTTGTCTCGAATTATAACCACATTCTAAATTCTTAGATGTGATGTCTTCCACAAATGAGTCTATGGAAGGACACGATTGAGCCTTCCACATTCACAGTTGAAATGAGGGGGTTGTTTGTGTTGGGTGTAGATTGCCTGGACCACCTGGGCCACTGTAAGGACTAAGGTTTCCATGGCAGGGGATGTGGGAAGGCTTCTGAGTTTAGAGCAGAGCATGCACCATGGAGAACGTTGTGCAGTTGCACCATGGAGATGTAAAGGTGTCAGCAGGAGGTTGAGGTATGGAGGTTCCTTAGCAAGAAAATGGTTGGTTCTGAGTGAGTTGAAGTTGGAATAAATAGCATTATCTCTGAGATTAGCCCTGGATGTGGTGGCTGAGGGAATGGTTCCTAAGGTCTGGGTCCTGAACCTGGGGAAGAATGAACTAAAAGAAATGGCATTTCTTCTCTCAAGAAAGAAGTCTGTGGTTGAAACAAGCTGTGGGATATTCTACATGCTGTGAATATGTTTCTCTGATTGGTCAATAAATAAAATGCTGATTGGCCAGTAGCCAGGTAGGAAGAATTGGCAGGATAAGCAGAGAGGAGAATTCTGGGGAGTGGAAGTCTGAGTCAGAGACAGCCACCCACTGCCATGAGAAGTAAGATGTACTGGTAAGCCACAAGCCACATGGCAACTAATATATTAATAGAAATGTGTTAATTTAAGATACTAGAACTAGATAGCAAGAAGCCTGAGACATTAGGCCAAACAGTTTAAATAATGTAAGAAGTGTCTGTGTGTTTATTTGGGTCTGTGTGGCTGTGTGCCTGGGTGGGACGGGAGATAACTCTAGCTACAGAAACATTTATAGAAAAAAAGTGTGTTAGGTTTTTACATTTTAAAAATTAGTAAGAGTTTCAAACTGACTGAATAACCCCAAGAACCATATAAGGACTGTTCCATTCCCACGACCTGGGCTCCTGGCTGTTGACCTTTACTGCACTCTCTGTCTGTCCTTCCTTCCCCTTGTTCTTTGTTTTGTTCTGACATCAAGGTCCATCATCCTAAACACTCCTGCCTGTCCCTCCAAGAACCACATCATCCACCATTGCACCTTCCCAGTGAGGAAGTCAACACCTGGGGCCTTGTCACCTTCCAGTCTGTAGACTCCTCAGGTGTCACACCTTCCCTGTCTGTCCCCTCTCCTGTCTGCTTCAGGACACTCTAAGATCAAGTTCTTGTCATCTTCAGTATGGAACGCTTCTTTCTGTCCCTGTGTCTCATGCCATGGCTAGTCTTAGGGGTCATCCTAAGTGTGGTTCCTCCCAGTGTTCTGGAGCAGACTCAGGCCTGATATGCTGTGTTCTCCATGGTCTCCAACACTCCTGGAAGTGCATCCTAGTGGTAAAATATTTTTTTTAAAAAAGCATTTTTTTTTTTAATTGTGTGTCTTTTGTGTGTGTGTAGCATATCAGTAGAGGTTAGAGGACAACTCAAGGAGTTGACTTTCTCCTTCCACCAGCAGGGTTCTGGGAACTGAACTTAGGTCTTTAGACTTGGGTGAGGGCGTTTACCCACCAACCCCACAGCTCCCCAGAGTTTTCTTGAGTGTGAGCAGCAGGAAATATTAGATAGAAAGATTTATTGCGGAGAACATTGTGGAGATAAACAGAGAAAATAAAGGATAACCTTGAGTGTAACTAGAGTTTTCCTGCCTTGCCCACAGTCAGGACAAATCTCTGTCATCTGCCAGTCCCACAGCCGCTCAGACCCAACCAAGTAAACACAGAGACTTATATTGCTTACAAACTGTATGGCCGTGGCACAGAGACTTATATTGCTTACAAACTGTATGGCCATGGCAGGCTTCTGGCTAACTGTTCTTATATCTTAAATTAATCTATTCCCACAAATCTATACTCTGCCACATGGCTCGTGGCTTACCGGCATTTTTACATGCTGCTTGTCCTGGCGGGCGGCTGGCAGTGACTCCTTCTGCCTTTCTGTTCTTTTATTTCTCCTCTCTGTTAGTCCCACCTATACTTCCTGCCTAGCCACAGCCGATCAAGTTTTATTTATTGACCAATGAGAGCAACACATTTGCCATACAGACCATCCCCCAGCACAGCCAAGTGCAGACCATCTCAGACACCTGCACTCAGGCCTGTGGTCCTAATCATCCTCTATGTGGACCTGCTGGGTAAAGCCACAAGGAACCTGAAAACCGGCTCCCACAGACTTGGCACCAACTGTTTTTACCCATTGATCCATCTCACTTCCCTGGCTTGAATCTTGATCATCTAATCATGCTGGTGGTTCTGGGTTATGTCCCATGAAATTCCACTTTTCCCATTTGTGATTTATTAACAGGCTGACAGGGAATACAATCAGCTGTTATGTCATTATTCTGCTCCTTATCTTGTCGCTACCAACCCCTTGTCCTGTTGGAATTCAAGGTGTGCACTACCATGCCTAGTTCTCTCACTCTCTCTTATTCCCTCCCTCCTTCTCTCCCTCCCTTACCCCCTCCCTCCCTGCCTTCCTCCCTCCATCCCTCCCTTCCCCTCTTCCTTCCTCCCTCTCTCTTTTTCTTTCTGTTTGTCTTAATGTAACAGGGTCTCATGTAACCTAGGTGGGCATGTAACTTCTGATCCTCCCAAATGCTGGGATATTACAGATATGCCACCATATTCAGCTTTAAAAATAAACATAATTCTTTATTGATTCTTTGGGAATTTCATATCATGCACCCCAATTCCACCCAACTCCCAGTCTGTTCTCCCAACATCCACACTTCACCCTCATAATACCCGCCAAAGGAAAGTTTAAAAAAATAAAATAAAAAAGTAAAAATATTAATTAAAAATTAAACAAACAATACAATACAAAGATACAATACAATACAAGCAAGACAGCAACAATATAAACAATAGAATAAAAGAAACAGAAACAAACACTTCACTCCTCTATCTCTCCCTGCCCCTCCATCACCCCTTCATTTGTATTAGTGGCATTGCGAGCTTCAGCACGTCATCGAGTAGACCCTTCTGTTCAGACAGTTTTACTTGCAAATGATCACTGTATAATGAGTTGTTGGTGAGGTTCAAGGCCTCTGGCTTCTTTTAAACCATTAATGCAGGACCCTCACTGGAACTCCTCTGGGATATCCTGCTGCTACCCTGAGTCTTGGATATCCTGCAGCTATGGATCTGCAGGATCAGTCCCTCCCTACATGTGCTACAGCAGGTCACAGATGAGGTAGATGATGGGTTGGGCAAACTCAAAGCCCTGGATGTGTGCCTGGGTGGTAGATGAGCTGGTCAGTCCAGCCTAGATGTTTAACCATACCCAGCTTTTATAAACATTTTAAAAGAGTTTAAAACAGTGTTTTGGGTTATTGTTTCTCGTAACAGAAGATATGACCTCCTGAATTGGTAGTTCAGCTTATTTTTTCCTATCCTGGAATTAAACCAACAATCAAATCCAAGTTTTGCAACTCACTAACTGACCCCTTGGCCTGTTGCTGGACCTTCTAAGCCTTATCAACAGAAAGGGGAAATTGTATTAGAATTGCCTTATACCAATTGTTAGTTATTTGGCGGCGCTCGTACCCTGTGAGGAAATGTCATGAAACACAAAAGAATCCACTAATAAGAGTTTTATTAAGACAAGAGAGAGACAGGTGTGCTCAGGCCTGCAGAAAGACACATGCATAAGGAGAGAAGCCAGGAATGTGGCGCCGGCTTATAAAGGCTGGGTTGTGCATACATACACAGGCTCATGTGGTTACTCCATGCATGCACGTAGATCACATGGTTGTGTTGTGTGCTTTACACAACCATGCAAAGCCATGGAGTCCTGGTCACGCGAGACGTTTTGACCTGGAAATGGCTTTTTTTGCCCAGGAAATGGCTAGGCGGAAATGTCTAGGTCCCCTGGACATGGGGGCGAATTGCGAATCTCTATCATCCAGGACTCTTGTTTTTTTTTTTTTTTT